ATCCCTAGAAGCATGGAAAGCAGACCAGTCCCTGGTGTACTGGTGGTCATATGCCCCAGTTCTAGTCAATGAGGCAAGGGGGAGGTTTGCCGGGAGGCCTCTAGGAAAGAGTTACCTCCTTGATAAGAAAGCAGAAGAGGGGCCAGCCCCGTGGTGCAGCGGTTAAGTTCGCATGCTCCACTTCTTGGCGGCCCGGGGTTCACCAGTTCAGATCCTGGGTGCGGACATGGCCGCTTGGCAAGCCATCCTGTGGTAGGCGTCCCATGTATAAAGTAGAGGAAGATGGGCACGGATGTTAGCTCAGGGCTGGTCTTCCTCAGCGAAAAGAGGAGGATTGGCAGCTGTTAGCTCAAGGCTGATCTTCCTCCAAAAAACAAAAATTAAAAAATAAAAATAAAATAAAAGCAGAAGAATTCTTTGCCTCATGCTCCTCTGATTCCTGCATTTGAATACAGTTGGATAAGAATGTGATTTTTAGAGCTACAACAGCCATCTTGTGCTCATAAGCGGGAAAAAGAGGGCAGCAGGGACACTGATCCAGAACCCTGACATCCTTGAATAGCTGAATCAGCACTGGAGGCCACCTACCTCCAGACTACTTCTTGTGTAAAGAAGAACAACTTCTCTTCTTCACATTACTTTCAATCAGGTTTTCTGTTACTTACAGCCAAATGCACTCCTAACTGATACATTTCCCAACCTCCAAGGCCCCCTCCAGGAAACAGAGCTCTAGAGCCCCACCTGCTCCCAGGCAAAATTTTTCTACCTTCCTCCCTCTTCTTTGTTCCTACAGTCACATCTGTTATTGCTCCTTATCACATTTGATTATTCATATTCAGATTTCATTTTTTCTTTTAAATTATAGGCCCTTGAGGACAAGACCTTAACACGTTCTTCCTCTGACAGAAGGGATCTTTTAAAACAGTGCTTCTAAAATTTTAGTGTGCATACAAATCACCTGAGGGTTTTGTTAAAATTGCAGATCCCTGGGCCCTAACCACAGCACTTCTGATTCAGTGGGTCTGGGCTAGGGTCCAAGAATCTGCAGCTCAAAAAAGTTCCCAGATGATGCTGATGCACAGTCCAGGGCCACCTTTTGAGGAAACGCTGTTCTAAGATACTGTGTACCTTTTATATTATCCTTGTCATACACCATCTCCTATTGTTAATCTCTTTCCTTTTTGTATTGTATCCTCACTAATTTGAGAACTCCCTGAGGGCAGGGACCATGTTTTATGCTCCTTAGTACCTCCAGAGTACCTAGGCATGGTGTCACTCAACAACCTTTATTGAGTAACTGAATGAAATGAATGAATGAATGAATTAGTGAAATAAATACATCCACTAATCTTCAGGTCTGGTTTCTTATTCCCAGCAATGATAAATATGAGATGAGCCAGTACCTCAGCTAACATTTCTGTAGAGAAAGTAACAGCTTCAGAATTCCAGTCAACAGAATGCAGCCAAGATTCCTTTTCTTAACGTTGGATCCCAGTACAATGTAGAGACACTAGAATTTCACCTCTGATTTCCGTTGCATGAAGTCACATATATTTTATATTACACACTTTGTTTCCTCTGGTTATCTAAGCCAAGAAGTGCCTCTTAAAATAATCTAATAAGTAAATAAATTTTCCTCTAGGGAAAGCCTCTTTGTCACATATATGCATCATCAGGTTAGAAAACATTATCCAGAGTGGTGGGAGTGGGTAGAGAGCTCCTCCTGGAACCTGTAATTATTGAATTGTTGCAAGGAACATGAAATTTGATTCTTATTTTGTTCTCAGATGGGCCTCGTTCTCAGGAGGCCCCTCACAGAGTAAATCTATGGTATTAGGACAGAGTAGGGGATAGTAGCCTGAATCTCATCCACCACACAATTGCACTGAGCATGGAGGTCAAGGCTAATGATGGCAGTATTTCCTTTCATCCAAAAAGTAGAAAATAATCTCTTTTCTGATGACAAAATCTTAAATAGTGGCATTATGTTTTCATGAATATTGCTTCTATATGTACTGGTATTGCTGTTCAGACGGTATAATAAGAAATAGTCACGGCAGCAGGATACTAGGTCTGTGCCACCTTTTCAAAAGCAAAGGCAATGGTAAACAGACACACAAAAAGATGTCCCCAGTGAAAACTTGCTGTTTCCTTTTTGTTCCCTGTCAACAGCATGGGTGGAACAACCTGTTTAGGCCATGAGAAGAAACTGTGAACATAAAAACAGACAGTAGGTTCATTTCCAAGATGTAAAAAGTACCAATGAAAGATATATAATTACCTGGGTTCTATTCATTACATTGCAACCTTTGACTATACAATGGTGCTCTGTTGGATCCAGCACCCAATGTCAGTTTACTTATTCATTCAGTAGCCGTTTACCAAGCACCCAAGTATAGTGGTTAAACAATCACCTTTGAGACCCCACTGCATAAATTCTGATTACAGTTTCACTGTGTAACTGCTGTGAGAAGCTGGTGAAAACACTATCCTCTCTGAGCCTCAGATTACTCACCTGAAAATGGGGACAGTGAGAGAAATTATCTCATAGGGTATGTCCTTGCTACTCAAAATGTGGAACATGAACTAGCAATATCATCACCATCTGTGAGCTTGTTAGAAATGCAGAATCTTAGGCCCCACCCTAGATCTAGTGAGCCAGAATCTGCAGTTTAACAAGATCCCCAGGTGATTTCTACGCACGTTAAAATATGAAAAGCAATGCATAAGTAAATAGTTTCTTGAGCCCAAACTCCTTCAATCTTAGCTCTACCAGTTACTATCTGGGAGTCCTTGGTATGGTACTTAACCAACGTGTGCCTCAGTTTCTTAACTCATAAAATGGGGATAAAAATAAAAACTCAACTCATTGTTAAGGAGAGTAAATGAATGAATACATGTAAAGAGCTTAGAAAAGTTCATAACACATAAGTGTTCACTCAGACTTGTTACAGTGACAATTGAGTTGTAAATGTTGAATGCAGTAAACAACAAATAAAAAGCACTCAGTAAATGTTAGCTGCAGTGGACAGGATACTGTTGGGTGTTGTCAGGAAACAGACGATTAAAAAATAGACCCTGATCTCATGACACTGTGACCTATTTGTGCTAATTCTCCTTATACGTGGTGTCCATTAAAAAAAAAAGAATCACAATGACAGCCTTTCAGAAGTAGCCATTCAATAATAGTCAAGGCATCCCTGCCAATGCCTGGGGTTTAAATGATGGATCTAATCTGTAATTCATGAGCCAAACGAATACTGCTCTACACACCCCGGAGTAACTCATATGGTGGGGGGAAAAAAGCCACATTTCTTGACTTCCTCATTTTCAAGCAGCTCCCATATAAATTGCTCCCTGAAGATTTATGAAGCTGACAGCATTCAAAAGAGCCCTATCTAACAAGTTATGTGGAAACAAGTTGATTCTGTCTGACAGGGGAAAAGGGGTTGAACTGATTCTATACATCTACACTATTTCCTACCATGTATCCTGCAATGGTTCTCAAACTTAGCTGCCTATTAGAATCATCTGGAGAGCTTTTCAAAAATACTAAAACCCAGGCCCCACTCCCAGAGATACAAATTTACTTTCTTCGGAGTGGGGCTCAGGCATGGGTATTTTTCTCAAAGTTCCCCAAGCGATTCTAATGTGCAGCCATGGTTGAGAACCACTGCTATAAAACACATTAGGCCCAAAGGGGCCCCCAGTGAGTGGACGACATTAGAAAGTGAACAAGAATCAAGGACAAAAGAGGAAGAGAAGGATATCAGAAGGGACAGCTAATCAGCATTCTGCTTTTACGTCTTGGGATGAACCACCAGGAAGGTGGCTTTGCTCTACCAGGCCAACCAGGGGTTTTGTAAATTTCATTTAGTTCCAGACAGACATTACAGGTCCAAGCATAAATCAGAACCGTGAAGTAGCAGGAAGAGAGGGGACAGTTCCAAAAATGCAGGACCGAGAAAACGGGATAAGGAATAAAACATCCAGAATAGTTGCCATAAAATCCATGTCCTTTGTCACAGAGCCTTGCAGGACCAGTTTTCAAATGGAAAACTCATTTTCCATATTAGCTAAACCTGGAAACAACCCACATATGAGTAGAATGGGTTAAATATATTGCAGTAAATTCACTCTGAATGTTACAAGCAATGAAATAAAGCATAAACGGCTGTGACACTCAATAACATGGATGAATCTCACAGACATAATATTGAGAAGGCTGACACATAACAGCACAAACTACATGATTACATTTATATGAAATTCAAGAATGAGCAAAACTAATCAACATTAATAGAAGTCAGAAGAGTGGTTACCAAAAATTTGGAAGTGGAGCTGACTGGGAGGGGTCTGAGGGAGCCTGCTGGGTGGGTGCCGGAAATACTCTATATCTTGGTCTGGGTGGGGTTATGAGGTGTGCACATATATACACTATTCATTGAGCACTTAAGATGCTTAAGATGGGTGCACTTTACTGTATGCAAGTTATAGATCAATAAAAAAGAAAAGAAATCTTATTTGCTATTATTATTATTCACTCAATAAATATTTATTAAAAGCCTACTCTGAGCTAGGCCATGTTCTAGGTACTGGATACAGAGGTGTACTAAACTGACAGAGCCCCTGCCCTCTTTGCACTTACATGCTTATGAAGAAGACAGATCATAGAACATAAACAAATACATATAACATGTTGTCAGGTTGTGATAAATGCCACAAAGAAAAATCAAGCAGGCTAAGGGGCTACAGAGTGTGTGTTGGGGGGCGTGGGACATGCTATTTTAGATGGCAAGGTCAGAGAAGGCCTTTCTTTTTTTTTTTTTTAAGGTTTTTTTTTCCTTTTTCTCCACAAAGCCCCCTGGTACATAGTTGTACATTCTTCATTGTGGGTCCCTCTAGTTGTGGCATGCGGGACGCCGCCTCAGCGTGGCTCGACAAGCAGTGCCATGTCCGCGCCCAGGATTCGAACCGATGAAACACTGGGCCGCCTGCAGCGGAGTATGTGAACTTAATCACTCGGCCACGGGGCCAGCCCCCAGAGAAGGCCTTTCTGAGAGAGCAACATTCCAGCAAGTTCTGGGTATCTGGTTTCCAGCCCATAGCAGATTAGAAGCGTGCATTAGATGAGGATGGGAATGTCGTTTGAAGGCAGACAAATCGACAGAAGCAAGGAATGTCAACTGACAAAAAAGGAAGGACACAAGAGCTATAAACTAGCAGGCCCAAGCACTCAGAGGGCCAGCATGAGAGCCACATACCTTCCCACTTCATTAGCATTTAGGGCATCTCAATGATAAAGCTCAAAACAGCTGTCTGTTCCATCACTTCTCTTACTGTGTCACCATTTCCTGGCCTCTGCTCTGCTGGACAGTGAGCATCTTGAAGGCAGGCATTTGGTCCTGTTTGTCATTATATCCTCTGCACCTACCACAATGAGGGGACATAGCAAGGCAGTCGATAAATATTTACTATCTGCCTGGCTGTCTCCTGATGTTGAGTCACCCCAAAAATATTTCTGCAACACTACTATTTCCAGAATTCTCTCTGTTAGGCATGTAATAGAATTTAGACTTCAGAGTGAATAACAGATCAAGATTGAACTTTTAAGATTGGGTGTTTAAAACAAGAGGAAAGTGTTAGCCATCTGGAGAACTCACTTACAGGAAACTCCTCATTTCCCAAAGTTGCTGGGGAAATGAGGTGTTACTGTGCTAATCAATCTTGTCTTGACATTACCTGATCTCGTTCTCTGCCTCTCAGCCTGGAGCAGTGGTGTTCAAATTTGAGGATGGAGATGAATCATGTGAGGGGCTGATGAGAAATACAGATGTCCAGGCTGCATCTTCAGAGATTCTGATTTACTAGGTCTGGGATACAGACAGAAATAATCATACAAACAATAACATTACTGAACACTTAGTCATTACCAGGCATCATTCTAAATGTATTTCGTGTTCTATCTCATCTAATCCACAAAACAACCATATGATGCACTTTACAGATGAGGAAAATGAGGCACAGAAGGTTCAGGTAACATGTCCAGGGTCACACAACTAGTGAGTAAACTCTGGGATTCAAACTCAGGCACTCTGCATGCAAAGCCCATGCTCCAAAGCTCCTCAGTCAATTGCCACCCTGTACGTATTAACATCAAGCAGGCCAGTTATGTTGGTGGTCTGGGGGCTTCAGTTTAAAACCACTGGCCTATATCAGTCGTTTCCTTCCATTCCTGCATGCTCTATCCATAACTACTGTTATCTTGACCCTGATCATTTAGGGAACCCTTACACTTCCCACATCAGAAGAGGACCAGCGGCCCCATCCTCCTCGTTTAAAATGAGAGGGTGACTAGGCCGACATCCCTGGGAAGGATGGAATATAATACAAATCATGGTAACATAGGTAAACATCGGCACCTCAAACCACAGTTTGAGATGGAAGACAAAAACAACACCACAGCCATGGAGCAGAGGAAATGGACAAGGAAGGGGAGTGCTGTGTGAAGAGCACAGCAAAGAAAGCTAATCAGCATTCAGCATTCTGCCTCTCTGTCTTAGACTGAACCAGCAGGATCATCTGGGAGATAACGTAAAGACTGGTTCTCTCTGCCTGAAGTCCTTCCCTGGCTTCATGAGCATGTTTGGTCTGTGCATGGGGCAGGCTGGAAGTGTCTGAGTTAATGCCCCCAACAAAAGAGGGACAGGAATTGGTGAATAAATACTCCACTTTTCTCACTCCTCCTAGGGGACAACTCTGCGGTGTGTTCTACACCGTCTATCAAAGGTCCCCATGGGATTGTGCCCCACCTGCCCACAGGGGTAACCTGCTTATTATCGCATACTTTATTGGCTTTCCTCCCTCCCCCACTGCACTTTCTACTCCCTCGCTGCACTTCCTGGGATCACCTCCCAAGTAAACCACTTGCTCCTAAAACCTTGTCTCAGCCTGTACTTTAGGGGACTCAAACTAAGACATAGGAATATATATAACAAGTAGAGTGGCTCCTACAGGTCAAGTTCTAAAATTGGTGAATCACTTATTGTGCCAGGGAGGACCACTGCTGGGTGGAAAGGCCACTGTTAACATCTGCAACTTCTGCTTCTCTTGTTTAGTTCTTTTAAACGCTCTCCTTGGCGGCTGGCCAGGTGGTGCAGCGGTTAAATGCACACGTTTCTCTTCAGCGGCCCGGGATTCACCGGTTCGGATCCCGGGTGCAGACATGGCACCGCTTGGCACGCCATGCTGTGGTAGGCGTCCCACATATAAAGTAGAGGAAGATGGGCACGGATGTGAGCTCAGGGCTGGTCTTCCTCAGCGAAAGAGAAGGATTGGTAGCAGATGTTACCTCAGGGCTAATCTTCCTCAAAAATAAAATAAAATAAATGCTCTCCTTTCCAGCTCTGTGACCTTAAACATTTAAAAATGGCCAATATTGGCCTCTTAAACATAGATGAGGGGGGATTATGGTTGTATCTGGGATTGGACTTTTAGTAAGGGCCAAGCATTCTGGTGACAGGGGGAAAAGGAACAAGGTGAGAAACTGAGACATCTGTTTGACTTTTGCAAACACTAGTTTAAAGCCTAGAACATGCCTTAGGTTCCCCTGCATGGCAGATTATCCAAACATGTCCACAATAGCCCATCCATATGCTTTTCCAGAACCTTCCCACGCCCCTTCCCCTTGAGCCTCAAACACCGCTGTGACTGCTTTGACCAACAGAGTACATCAGAAGTGACACTATATGACATCCAAGGCTAAATCAGGAAATGCCATGCACTTTTGTCATATTCTCTTAGGATGCTCACTTAATCCACTCATGCTGCTGTAAGAAACCCCAAGTAGTCTGAGGAAAGGCCAATGGGGAGAGGAACCAAGATGAGCTCCCAGTAGACAACTGGCACCAATTTGCCACCCATGTGAGTGGGTCATCTTGAAAACGGTTCCTCTAGCCCCAAGTTGACTCCTCCTAACTGACAATGGAAGAAATAAGCCATCCCTGCTGAACCCTACCCAAATTTCAGATTTTTGAGCAAAATAAATGATTGTTGTTATTTTGAAATACTGGGTTTTGAGGTGGTTTGTTATGCAGCAGTAGGTAACTGATACGCTCAGTTTCCCAAGAACAGAAAGATGACTCAGAGTTTTTACCAAAACCTTTTTTTGGAAGCCACAGTATATTTTCCCCTCTGAAGCCTTTAGTCTCAAGTTCTCCCCTGGACCTCCGTGCCCCTACCTCCTTCACTAGTTCTGCTAGAGCAATAGGGCAAGGTTCCCATCTTGGCAACAGCAGGAGCTTTCATGTGACTGTAAATATTTGTTAATTGATAGATAGGCACAGTGTTCCTCTTATCCCACCCAGGCTGGTTTCCTTGGAAACCTAATTTTCCATGGATTCCCTTGATTCCCTCTTGCAAACAAATTTTATTAGAGCAGAGATTAAGTCTTAGGTACTTTAGGTAAACTTAATAAATCCAAGGACCCATGTGGTCCAATCTTGGAGCAATGTCTCTTTTGGCAGCTACAGATGATCAAAAAGCAGCTTCCTTCTTTACTCATCTTTCAAGGTACAATAATAGAAACCCATTCATAGCCCACAATAACACTTCTTTAAACCCCTTCCTCATTCTCCAAGTCCTTTGTCCCTCACAGGTGCTTCAGAACCTTTTATACACAAATCATTTCTCGAGCCCCAGAAGCCATTTGGGTTCTTTTTTCCCCTCTTTCTTTTCTCTCCCCTCCTCCTCAAACCTTGATTTAGCCTGTAGGTCAGCAAGGAATAATTTTTCCCCACTCTAGGAAGGTGAAAGGCACAATAAAGAGGGATGCTGAGCAGGTAAATAAGGGTTTCTTTTTAGCAGGCAGGAGGTTTCTGAAAGGAGGTGGGAGGGAAGGTTGCTACCATCCATTTTGATTTTGTCTCAATATATTATAAAGCATCCATTTTAATCTAACTAGCTAATGAATACAGACAAAAAGATAAAAACAGGAAATAACTAAAAATAAACTTTATGTTAGTGAAAAGATGTGCTTAGAATCTACCGTGAGAATTTGGTTTTCAGATTTAATCTTAATATCAGGAAGTCTTCCCGTTCTGTAGCACCAAGGAAAATTTAAAGCACATTTCTGGCAACAAATCTGTTAACTGGCCCAGACAAACAAAATTTAGAGGAATTAAATTCCTGCTTTAAGTTCAATTCTCTTGGTCAACTCAATTACCCAATTTTTTTGTTCTTTTCAGTCATCATTTCTGGCTCTCTTTTTTCCGATGTTAACGTGAATATTCAAGATGAGTAAAAGCAATTTGATGATTTCCTGGTGAAGATATGGATTCTGAAGAGGTATTTACAATTAGCCATTATTCTGTATTTTAAAATACCTCTAGGGATTTTCTCTTCCTTGGCATTGGTTTGCTATGGTCCTTTTTACCCATTGTCTAGGCCCCCAATGGGTCATAATTCTGAGTCAGGTAAGAAATTTACCAGGCATCTGCGCTTATAGTAGAAATCTTATTTAACAATAATTACAACTGCAATAGGAAAAGTAAAATTACTAACAGACCTTCTATTCTTCAAGTACAAAGATACAATCAGCTAAAATCAATCATTCCTTCTTCCCTTGCAGAAAATTCCACAATTATTCTTAGTTTCCTGACTGTCTCCTCCACCCCTTAGTCTCAAAGTGTGGTCAATGGACCAGGACCATCAGCATCACCTGGGACCTTGATAGAAATGCAAATTCCCTGTCCCTATCCCAGATCTATGAAAACAGAATCTCTGGAGTAGGGCCCAGGAATCTGTGCATTAACAAGGCCTCCAGGTGATTCTGATGCCTGCTGGATTGTGGAAACCACTACCTTAGAACATGAAATTGGATCGGAATGGTATAGTGACCTGAAAGTCAAAGGACCTGAGTTCTGTTTGGTGCTCTGCTATTAGTTTACTGTGTGGCCTTCATCAAGTCACTGCACCTCTCTGGACCTCAGTTTTCTCATCTATAAAATGAAGGACTTGGGACAGAAATTCTTTTAAGGTCCTTACCAGTTCTAGAAAGTAACAAAGTCACTGCCCTCAAGAGCACTAGCCAAGTACTGTAATATCTTGGCATATGATTCCATTTTTTTTCATGTCAGATTTTTTAAATTTTCAGGAAAGGCTAACCCAATCTTGTCAAGATGACTAAATACTTTAAACAGCTAGAAGCTGTATTTAAAATCTTTCTGTCAAGACTAAGTCATTTGTTAAAGTTGCTGGTGAATTGTCCCTGACAGTTTATCTCCCTCAGAATTTATCATTTCTCAGCCAGAAATATTAATTCATCTGATCAGTCCAGGAATCTTGATGCGCAATTATTTTTTCTTGCCCTAAGAATAGATTCATAATTCCTCTTCCATTCAGAAGAATATTCTCCTTGTACAAAAGTGACTCAGCATTAGTTAGGATTGTTATTAAGATGCCAACGTAGCATATTCTATTGGTAGGAATAATATATCAACACATTCTTGTAATAATATTAAAACTTAATTTTTATGATAAAAGTTATATAGGATTTATATTCTAAGATGGCACAATGATATTCATTTTGAAAACCTTTCATTTTTTCCTGCTGATAAATTCAATTCAGTATTTTTGAGCTGAGACCAATCTTAAGCCGCGTCACAGAATATGGGCTGGGTGCTCTTTGTTGAATTTCAACAAATGATTCATTCCATCAATTTGTCAAACTTCATAATGTGACAAGCAAGCCTCTGATGAAATAGGCAGACTTTCCAGATGGGATGAAATCCTGACACAAGTAGTTTTGAAATTAGCTTAATCTCTCTATTACTGAGGTAGCAGGGAATGAAAAATGAGGTTTTCACCTGAAGAG